AATAACAGAGACACTAAGAAAATGTATATAAATATAACATCAATTTTTATCAGTAAAGTATGGATTGCTAAAACTACAGAACAGAGGTTTGGGTTTAGTTGGGGAATAGGAGGAAGAAGGGCTACTTCTAAAGCTAAACAGGCCTAGTCTAAGTCCAAAGATTAGAGATGCTTATAAGTTGAATGAAGAGATCAAGGGTGGAAAGCCCACTGCAGAGGATGACAATTAGGAAAAGGCTACAGAGAAGACAGGATGGATCCAGAGTTCATCCCTCCATGTCACAGGTAGGGAACTTCAGGCAAGTTACCTGACTTCGGTGCACCTCAGTTTCCTCATCTGAAAAAATTTCCATATTATATACTTCACATGACTATTGTTGGAATTAAAGATAGTCATAAATACAAATTGCTAAATGTTATTCATTCATTAAAAAGTGCACACAGCCTTTTCTTTCTAAATTTGAATGTTCATCAATGTGGCTGATAAAAAATTTTGAACTAATTTACGCTAATGAGTAAATGGCAAACCACAGGCCATCTTAAAACTATACCTTTATTAGACACAGACATCTCGTTTGCTCATGCTATGACCTGAATATTGTTTTCTTCTAAAAATTCATATACTGAAATCCTAACCTCAAAGCAGTGGTAGCGGACAGTGGGAAGTGATTAAGTCATAGGCGGGAATCCTCAAGAATAGGATCAGTGGCTTTTTAAAACAGACCCAAAAGAGCTCATTTGTCCTTTCGTCACATGAGGACACAGGTAGATCTATGAGCCAATGAATAGTCTCTGCCAGACACCAGAGAAGTCTGCCTTGATGCTGGACTTTCTAGTTCCACAACTCTTGAGAAATAAGCATTAGTTGTTCATAAGCCATCCAGCTTATGGCCTTTCGTTATAGCATCTAGAACACACTGACGTAGTTCAATTTCAGTTTGTCATAAGAAAATTTTTTTTTAAAGTTTCATGTCTGTAATCACAGCACTTGGTAAGCTGAAACAGGAGGATCACCATTGAGTTGGAGGTCAGCCTAGCCTACATAGTGAGATCAAGACAGCCTGAACTACAATAGTGAGACCCTGTCCCCATAAAACAGTAATCATAATAAAAACAAGTCCCAGCACAGTATGGGACACAAAACAACTGTAAATTCCTCTTTTATTATTCCAAATTATTACCATAATTTCTTGACATGCTTTGTTTTAAAATTCATTGATTCTTCATTAAAATCTAAAGCTGTGCCACTCCCGTTCTGATCCCAAGTTTCTACATCAGCTACAGAAGGCTGAAGTGAAACATAATTCTGTGCCTGCCTGGTGGGGGCCAGAGGTGGATATACAGTGTTGTATTTAGTATATCTTGAATGTATGTAGAAAGTGCCTGCAACAGATATACATGTTAGAGGATGGATGGATGGGAGATGTCCTACACAGTTTAGGACAAAGTAGTCACACGTTCTTAAAATTTCCTCTAGGTATCTGAGAAACCAAACCTCTGTTTGCCTCAGTGTCCTTGTGTTCCAGAAGCTTGAACTACTGGCTCTGCCTTTATTCATTTCTTCCTAGTATGATATCTGACTCAATTTCATGACCCTTTTTCATCATATTATGCCAGCATTTATAAGAGTATATTCCAAAGTATAAATATTAATAGAATGCATCATATCTAGTCATTTCCCCTGGATGTCTTAAAGGCCTGGGTTGAGTTTATTTCCTCCTATTTAATCATTTAGAAAACATTTGCAGAGTGCCATTAACATAAATAAACTCTTCAATATCCCTTCATCAAATTGCCATCACCAGTTAAAACTCTCCATTTCATACTGCACTTAAGATACCTTTCCCCACTCCACAATTCCCAGTTTAACTCTAGCCTATCATTTTAATACGTAAGCACCTGCAGGCATAAAAGAGCAGGAGAAATTTTATGCAGTGTCTATGAGGTGCAGAGAAATAAGATCTTACTTGTGAGGAACCATCCCACCCATTACAAGACAATTAGCATTCTAACCTAGCACCAGATGCCAATAGAAAAACCCTATAGCTATTATAACAATCAAAAGTGGCCACAAAAATTGCTTAATACCTACTTGGTAGAAGGCACCCAGCTCAGTTCCCATTGAGAATGTCTGAATACAATTAAAAAGAATCTCTCTCTCCCCTACCCTTCAGCCCTCTGTATTCTACCCCTGAGCTACATCCCCAGCTCTCTTCATTTTTTGTTTTGAGACAGGGTCTCACTGAGTTTCCCAGGCTATCCTTAAATTTGCCATCCTTCTGCTGCAACCTTCCAGAGTGCTGGGCTTACAGGTGTGTGCCACCATGCCCAGCTTAAAAAAACTTTTTAAAAAACAGGCTAGGGCCGGATGTTGTGAAATAAGATATATGGTAAGAACTTCAGCTCTGGAATCAAACTACCTAGATTCACATACACCATTCTGAATTACTGAAGAGTCAACTTAAACTTACTGTGACTTTCTTCATCATAAAATAGGAATAATAATATTGTTACCTCCTTGGGTTAGTTACATGAAATATTACACATGAAGCACCTAGAAATTTTCCTGGCATGTAAGTGAGAATTCAAATGAATTAATTATTAGCTGTAATTTACTGTGCCTATTTACACAGTAGGTACTTAGGCACTCTTTATGGAATACTGATTTTATGGATCTGCCTAGCCTCAGTTACCCAAGTTTAGTAAATGTGACCAAACAAGATCATCAGACAGATCAATTATTATTAGAATGGAAAAATCCATACGTCATAATCTTTTGTTTCATTAAAAACATTTATCTTGGAAACATGTTTACCTTCTGAGGAATACACCATAAATGCAATGTATTATGCTTAAGCTAACAATTAGATGCATAGCACTTTCCTATTTTCAGCTGTCACTCTGGCTCCCCCAATTCTGTTCAAGTACAAGATCAGCAACATAAATCTTTCACCTGTGTTAATGATCTGTAAGTGCCAGTCAGTAAAATGATGCATTCCCTTTATTGGGCTTCACCTCATTAGAAACCTGCTTTCACTGATAATGGACCTCAGAGGTCAATAAAAATCTCAGGGAGAATTCTGTCTCATTTACTAGATGGACAGGTGTGTGGAAGCCACGTGTTATACATGGTTTCATTCCACATGCCAACAAAAATTGCAAAGGCATCTTCAGAAATCCAGTGTTAAATCCCAACATGGTTCCTGCTAAAGAAACCACCATTAACTCTAATTTGAGAAGACTAAATTTAAATTTGATTGGATTTTCCCCACCCAGATTTCAGAAAGTACTAAGAGTCATCACAGTGGTCTCAATAACTCATCTCTATTAAACACTCAAGAAGTTATATTGGTTTTCATATCCAATTTCATTTCACCTGGTAAATAAGTGAGCTGCAAGAGCAGCCTCCTTAAAGAAAATGCTATGTCATCCCTCCAGCCTTTTCAACAAAAGAGTCAATATTGAAACATGAGTTAAAACAGTTAAGTAATGTAAAAGTGGTGTGTCCTATTATTTCTCAGTGTCTCCCCAAAGGTATTATTCAGGCTCAGTGTGCACAGGTGGTGATTCTGAACCTACCTAATAAGGCAACCTGGGATCCACTTTAATAACATCACTTGCAAAGGTAAGAGCAAGCCTACTGGGCAATTTCTAAGATGTGAAGGCTTATGCATGCACAAGCTACCCAGAGCGAGATGTCTTCCAAGACAAACTGAAAAGTCTAAATCAACCTCTTCAAAATAAACAAGGCAAATTTTATATTCAAGAAAAATCACATTCACAGAAATCCCCTGCATTTCTGCCAAAGACATATTTACAAACTCTGGAGACAAAAAGTTGTGTAATGTCACTGACATCCTGGCCATGTCTCAAGATTTATAGTTCGTGACATTTGCAGTAACCAGAGAGCAAATTCAATCTCACCTGAGAGGGATGAAATATGGAAATGTAAAGTGAACCCAAAACCAGTATTTTTCTTATAGGAAAAAGTGAAGCCCTTGAAAGGTAAGGATACTTTTGTGCACTTATCTCAACCATTTTCTATTATAAAATATTCACATTTTATAAAAGCAAAGGCAAAGCAAAGAAGTAGCAAAAAACGTTTAAATGTTCAAAATACTCTGGTGTCTGTCTATTCATAACCTCTTGAGAGCAGAAACGGAAGAGCAGAATTTGATCTGTCTTCTCTCTCAGACAGTTCGATGACGATCCCGCTGATGCTACAGATTTCAGCAAAAACTTCTCCAGCCAGTCAAGGAGACCAGGCAATTTGCAAAGACGGATTCCTATGGGATCCTGGTCGCCCTTGACACAGTGATCAAGAATTAGTATTTCCTAGCTTTCATCAGTCCTAGTCTGGAAACAAAACCATATCCCCGCGCGCTCAGACCATGCGCTTCCAGTCATCTCCCAACTCTTCAGTTCCCCACTAGCATCCAAGTAGCTGCGCGAGTCGCCCTTCATTCTGCCACTGACACGCTAATCTCCTGACTCCTCACTTCGTCTCACTCAACAAAACCTGTGGAATAATCCATTCCTCGGACTTGACGGTATCTTTCAAAATCAATCCAGGTGCATGAGCTTGCTTGGTTTCTACAAAGAAGCCAACGTGAAGAAACTCGCTCTTCCACAGAATTTCATTCAAAACCCTGTTAGAAAGTGGCACTCGCAAACAGAAAATTAACTGAAACTCGCACCACGGAGAAGCACGCACACAACCATACACGCACGGACACACTCTAGCTTGGGGGGGGGGAACCTGTCAGACACTCAGAAAGTAGAAAGCACATGGCCCCAGGTCGCGGTTTCAGCTCGAGGCTGGCGCTCCGCCGGGGACATCCCGGAGACGCCGCCCAGTGCCCGGTGCCGGCGGGCGCTTCCCCCTCAGTGCCCTCCCGGCTCCAGCGGCTCGGTCGCGGGGTCCGCGGCGGGTGTGGAAGGGGCGGGGGCGCGCGGGCGCTCCTCGCTCCGCTCTCTCGAGGACCCGCGGGCGCCACTTACGTGCCGGGCTGGAGCTGTAGGGCGCTTCCTGGCGGCCAGCTGGCGGCCAACCAGCCGCAGAAGCACCAGAGCCACAGTCGCGAGGTCATCTCCGCAAGGCCGAGCCGCTACGGCTACAGCCCGAGCTGCGCACCTCGCGCGGCTCGGGATCCCTAAGTCCGACGCCGGCGCAGAAGTTGGGCTCCTCGGGCAGAAGTTGGAGCACAGGGCTCGCTGCGGGGCCGGCGAGTGCGTCTCCGCGAGGAGGGCGCGGCTACAGCTCAATCCTGGCCGGCGAGCGCGGGCGGCCGGGCGCGAGGAGCGGCGGGCAAGTCCCGGCGCGGTGGCCGGCGAGCTGCTCGGCCCTGCTCCGCTGGGAGCGACTGGAGCTGAGCGGGCCCAGCGGCCCCCGCAGCCCCGGTGCCATGGAAACGCGCTCGCGGCCCTCTGGCCCGGCCCCTCCGGAGCGCTTAAAGAGACAGCCCCGTCGCTACCGCGCGCGCCGAGCGCCACTGGGCGTCCCCACCCCTGCGCCCTCCTCACCCCTCCCCACCAGAGCAGGGCGGGGGCTGGGCGCGGGGGACCGGAGAGGTAGCAGGGACACCCAAGGAGAAGGGGCTTCACCGAACCCGGCGCCTAACTCCACTCCCAGCCTCGTCCCAGCCGCCCTCCAAACACACCTCCCCAGACCCCGCGGGAGAGGCTGAGCAGCTCCAGTTTCCCCCTCCTGCAACCTCCGGCTCTGAACCTAACCCGCTGCGCGTCTGCCACTGGCGGAGACCAAAGGCTGACTTTTGATTCTCTCTCATTCTGCTCCCTCCCCACCTCGAGTCTGGGGAGTGGGTCGGAGCAGGAACGAGAGGTGTGTTTGAAGTGGGGACCAAACGGCAGTTGAGTCAAATCTCCTGCCAAATCGACAGTTGCAGGACGCTTTGCTGGCTCATCCAGAAATCCTCCTTACTCAAGATGAGATAATCTCCCTCCGTTTTATTTGGCCACCGTCTCCCTCACTGTAGGCAGCAGAGTTATAAGGAGCCAACGTTCTACACGCCTACCCCCTCCTTCCCTTCCAAACGGCTCCTTTCCCCCAAACGTACTGAGAAGCAGCCAGCTGCTAGCCCCCACGGCCCTTCCAGCGGGAACAGCGTCTGCTCCGAACCGGAGCTCGACTGCGGCGCTGGCCAGCGCGGGGAGCCAGGAGCAGCGCGGCCGCCAGCAGCTCCTGCCCGAGGCTGTGCCTCTGCCCGGCGCCAGCTGCTGTCTGGAAGGCCACAAACCTCTGGAGTCTGTTTTCTGAAAATAAAAATCTATGGTGCATCGTGCCCTCCGACAAGGACAGCCCAGGCTCCGCAGCGATAATCTGCATTTTAGTACTGCAGAAAATGGAATAATCTGCAGTAGGACAACTGTTTTCTTTTATTCCTAAACTTAACCCAAAGTGGCTGTGCAATGATTCATTCATAGAAACTTAGTGCTACCGCCTGAGTTCTTCAGTCCCAGGAGCCCTAAAATGATCTTCCTCAGAAGGTGTTTTGGACTTCCTCTTGCCCTTCATAGTTGATTTAATCACGTGGTCCCTTAGGTTTAGTCTTCTAGGTCGCCCCCCGCCCCCCAGTGCTTTTTCTGTCTCTAAAGAATTGGACAGTTACAGGAGGGACTGAAGAGCACACTTTTGGGAGTCCCCTGAAAAGGAAAGAGGTGGGGTGCGAAAGAACCATACCACCCCTGAATTCTTTAGCATTTGGTAACTTTGCTGCCCTTGACTTTCAGGGTTTGGAATTCCTGTCACCTTTCAATATCTTTTATTCCTCTTAGACTTACCTAGATTTTCTTTTTAATTTTTATTGAAGTTTAACCTAGAACAAAGTGAAAAACTCAGAAATACCCTAGATGACCTCTTTACTTTTGGCAAATGTCTTTAATAAACAATTTTAGAGCCATTTACACAATAGAAATCATTATTTAAACCCTTGTATTTCATAAAAGAGGGATTCATTCTTACTCGCTTTTCTAAATGCCAGTTATACATGAACCAGGCCTTCTGCAAGCTCAGAGACAGAGCTGGTGACTGAGCTGCTATCAGCTGGACATGTATTGTCACTTGGCTAACTCTTAACTAGTTCTGATAGTGACAGGCCAGCCATAGGTTGGTAAAACACACTGACAATTTTAAAATCTACTTTTTACTCTTACCACTAACTTCTAAACCATTTGACAGCTTTGTTAACGAGTGTCAACACCGATTGCATAATTTCAATTTCGCCTCTCCTACTTTTTCTTTCCCTCTTCTAGGGAGGTGCACTCAAAATGACCCAAGGTAGGCAGGGCACCATGAGGGTCAGAAGGGAGGAAAGAAATTACACAAAATAACGGTGGCTTCTGAACTGCACAGTACTAATTGTGTAAGATATACAAGCGAATACAAAGATTGAGTTTTCTAGTTTGTCTTTTGAAACCTAAAGTTCCCAGGTTTTTCAATTCAGTTTGTTCTTAATTATTTTAATGTAAACTTATACCAAAAGATGATGGTATAGATTAACTGTTCTTTGAAATTTCCTGTGACTTGCTAATCCTTTCTTTGCTTTTAGACTAGATTTAACTCTGCAGGGGTCTATCTTCAGCTTTCTGCCTTTCACCCCTACTGGAATATAAAAAATTTCTAAACATTTTTTCTTTACATTAAAGAAAGTCTTACATAAATAATAATCATATTTATTACAAGGTCACATTTTAGTAAACCACAGCTGAAACTAGGGACTATTTTCAGAGCTAAGTAATGTAAAATGGGGAAAATGTAGGCTATCTGTATGTTTGTTTAGTAAAGGACAGCTTAGGTACATGGGAAGTAAATGAGTGCATTGAAACTCACAGATTAGAGATACTTCCTCTCATGCACATTTGTTTGAAAGCATATATTATTACAGATGAATATATAAAGTACTTTGGATGTGACAGGCTAAATATTAGTGCACATTTCACAAAGTGAGGTTGATTTCAAATTATTCTAACATGGATTATAATATGAACATAATGCTATATAAGCAATTATCATTAAATGAAACAGAATAAGTATTAAAATTTTGTCATTAACTGGAAAACCCTGATTTGAATTTAGTTCCCCTTTTACAGTATATTCATAAAATTTAAAAATAACTGGTTATTTGGTTTGGTTGATTATGCCATATTCTAAAAAAGGCCAGCATTATGAAACTTGTTAACTATAGTCATATATTGAAATAAAAATGTAATTTGGTGGTTTTGGGTGCTATGAGGATACAAAATGAGGCTAGATTCAGAAAAAAATTCTGCTTTTATTGCCCAAAGTGAAAAGACATTATTAAATTAGCAAAGCAAGAGAATGAACCAGGTACACAAGGAACCAATTGTTTAAACTGAGAAGAAATTTTGTGTTAATAATATTTCCTGCTCATAAATAAACTCCATGAGGGGAAGAAGAAACAAAATAATCATGAATTATATTTTGCTTTGGTGAATATTTACACTGACAGCCTTATCAGGCTCTTACAGATAGGTTGGATATAGCAGATAGATGTTTTCTCTGAGAGGAATGAAGAAGATGGGCGACTCATGAGGGCATGCCATACGACACCCTTCTCTTCTTCCCTCCCACCTGTATGAAAGGAGTAATACATTTAGCCAGCTTCTTCCATGTTAGGAGGAGATGGGGAAAGCCAATTTCATGCTTTTTGTATGCTGGTTGTAAAAAGGAATGCTTACCTAAAAAGAAATACAATCCGACCAGATGTTCGCAAAATCTTCCTCAGCGGCTGCCTGAAGCTTTACAGTCATCGAATACTTTATCTTCTCTTCTATCTTCTTCTAATTGAGAAATTGTTGATCCATGCAATTCAACAAGCAGGCTGCTGCAAAAATCTTCCTGCCAAAGTTTTTCAGCCCTGCTCTCCTTCTGCACACAATCTTCCAATATCTGTATGTGGCCAGAAAAATAAAAGAACAGGTCACTTCATTCACCAGGTATTGTGGGTTGAAAGAGGAGGAGGCCAAAAAGTGGTTCTTCCAAGGACAGCTTCCGTTACCTGAAAGTATAATAAATTGCCATTATAGAAATGCCTACAAACACTAATGAGCCATGTACATTGAAATCTTGATGTCAGGCAAAAGAGAATGAAATTCACCGAGGAACCACCTGGGATTGTCCCACCAAGATGTGAATAATCATTCTTTGATTTCATCTGCCACTAAATTTTGTCCCTATAGAAACACACACTCTCTTTCTATCTCTTCTCTTTCTCTCTCATCTCATCTCTTTGACTCTCCCGCTCTCTCTCTCTCTCTCTCTCTCTCTCAAACTCCTACCACATTTGTTTAGTGATTTATACATACTTTCACAGTACTGAGATGCTTGTTGGTCATAATGACTTAAAAATTATATGTAAGATATGAGGGAATCTCAGCTTTGGAATTACTTATATTTATTAGAATATAATTAGATTCCTTGCCCAGGCGTCCGTTTGCATTAAACTTTTTTGGAAAATATATTTTGTATGTAAATAAGCTAAAATACACATAACATTAAATTTATAATCTTAACTTTTTAAGTGTAAGTTCAGTAGTGTTAAGTATATTCACCTTATTATACAACAGATTTCTAGAACTTCATCTTGCAAAACTGAACCCCTATAGCCAGTAAACATTGTCTTTCTCTTTTCTCTCCAGACCTTAGCAATCACCTTCCTAATTTTTACTTCAATCTTGACCACTTTATATATTGTATAAGAGTAGAAGTATACTGTATTTGCATGCGTGTGTGTGTGTGTGTGTGTGTGTGTGATTGGCATATGTGCAATGGTATCTCATTGTTTTAATGTGCATTTCAATGATGATTAGTGTTGTCTAGCAATTTTTCATACACCTATTGGCCACTTTTATGTCTTCTTTGGAAAATGTCTATTCAGATCTCTGCTCATTTTTCAGTTGGGTTGTTTCCTTGCTTTTAAATTGCTTATTTTCCTTATGCATTTTTTTCACTCTTCAAGGGTTATTTGGTTATGTAGTTGGTATGACACTTAGTTGATTGCATTGTTCACAGGTAAACTTCCTGTTTACATTATATGGCCATGTATACCATATATATATATATGAGCAAGAGCAAGTTCATATATATATATATATATATATTACACAGAATAAAATCCTTTAAAACAGTTATGCAAAAGACATGTAATATTGAATTTATACACTGGATCCAAGGTAGTGGCCACCTGAGAAAAAAGTCAGACTAGGCTTGGTTAATGAAGTTATATAACAGAGTAATATACATCTGGTTTGAAGGGCAACGGGAGCCTTTGCAACATAGGCCATGCTATCTCAGGCATGG